GCTACGCTATTCGCGTAGCTGAATTTGCGTATCTTAAATCGACTCCCCCCTGTAGTGTAGATGTACCCTCAGTGTGTAAAATGAAGCATGTAAGGCAAAGATTTAATTATAAACAGGGCACAAGTGAGATCAATAACCAAGGTAAGGGAAAGAGAGGAATCCTAACAGGATTACAAGCATGAGGTTCTTTCTTTAAAGTGGCATCTAAGATGGCCCTAAACTTTGAGAAACCTCTGGAAAACAGCTCTTTGGAGGAGGTTATAAAAATGTTATGCAGCCCCAACCACCTCACTTGCTTCCTTGCTGCAGTTGGGGCTGGACTTTACCTCTTTTGACCTCTCCATGTCTAGGGAAACTTCTAGCATTTTGATCAAAACTCTCTTAATTTCTAGTCCTGCCTTATAATTACTCTAGTTAATTAGCTAGTATATAGGGGTATGTCTACACAACAGCTGGGAGGTGAGATTCCTAGCTCAGGTGAGACATACTCATGATAACCTCTGCTCAAAGTAGAATGCTAAAAACAGTCATTTAACTGCAGCTGCATGAACAGTGGTTTGGGCTAGCCACCCAAGTACAATCCCATCTGACCTCCTGGGTATGTACATGGGTAGCTAGCCTGAGGAAGCGGGACACAGTGTACCTGGGAGAAGACAGTAAAGAGCAGATGAGAGGCCTGAGAAGAGGAGAGACACAAAGAGCAGCAGAGAATTGCCTGAGGGAAAGAGCTGCAGGAAAGCTCAAGGAGAGCAGTAAGTGTGAGCTGCTGGTAATAAATTCAAAGGAAACAGCTGAAGGATGGATTAGAGCTGGGGAACCCTGCCAAATTGAAGGAAGGCTGGTGCAGTGGCCCCTAGGAATGAGGAGAAGAACCAGCATGGTCAGGATAAAGTTGGGCCCAGAAATAAGGGTTGACTTCAAAGGGATTTCCTGGGGAGCAGGTGTAGGACTCACAGGCAAGGAAGGTTCCCCTAAGCAAGGGAGGCCTGGGGGAATTAAATTCTGTAGGGAGCTTTTTGTGAGAAAGCTGACATGAGGCTACGGGAGAAGACTTGAGGGAGAAAAGCGATTCTTGGAACTCGGGTAGGAGACCTGGAGAGTGAGGCCCTGGAACAGGGATTAAGTAATTGTGACAGAGCGGTTCGTGACTCTCAGGTTGGTGACCAGGGATAGTGACCTCCTAATGGTATTAAAGAGCTGCTGTGTTATAGCCTTGTTTTACTTTCGGGGTTTGAGAGGAATTGTTTTGGGTTTTTTTTGATGTTTACTGCAAGAGATCTGTGGACTGTGGTGCTTTATATGACTAAAAGGGTTTGAATCTGTGGTTTGCTGCTAATAGAGACAATATTCCTTTGTATGGGTGGCTGAAGAGGAAACTGAAGTAGGTATATGGCTTGTTTCTTGCCTGCAATAGGGTTGCCCTGCCCTTCTCTGACACACCTACTGTGTCTTTTCTTTAGTCCTGGAATTAAACAAGAACACACAACCTGCCACTGAAAGAAAAAACTGAGCTTCACATTGTCCAGGAGAAGACTAGAGTAGAAGTACAGAAGTAGTAAAAATGAGGCTTTCTCTGAAGGAACTGGCTCTCCGGTCTGTCGTCATCTAAAGCACAAACTAGATTAAGGAATCTCTAGGACAGCTCCAAAGTAGTTATTTTAATCTAATTTACCAGATTCCAAAATGAATGGTTAACAAGTGCCGAGGAAAGATTTAGTTTTGAAGGAGACTTCAGCTCTAGTTCAGCTGTGGCACCAAACTGATATGTAGGAGAAATAAGGCTTTCATTCATACTTGTCTTGACTTATCTCTTTGGTTTACTGAATACTGCCTATTGAGTGAGACAGCTTTAGACAGGCTCAAAATTGTAGTTTTTGTTGCACCTGTTTTTTGTTCAATACTGTGAAGTTAGTGAGTGGTTATTCTGTGGATGTTATAAAAAAAAACACATTGAGGATCCTGTGGCCTGCAATGTTAAACTGGCAGAAGGATGGGAGAACAGAGAGGAATAATTGGTTCAGAAAAGTTATTGGGGATAGTGAGAACAAATTGGGAGTGTAGGGTTAGAGCCAGGGATTGAATGTCAAGAGGTATGGATTCTGTTCTCCACTCTGCCAAATGCTCAATGTGTAACCTCAGGTAAGTAATTTAACTTTTATGTCTCAGTTTCTACATGGATAGAACGAGTATATAACTCATCTTTGTCAAGTGCCAAGTAAAAGGCATTGTGCGTATCAGTTTCACAACTTCTGTTGGAGACCCATCTTGGGTTAGACTGATAAATGGGTGTGCCCCCTTCTTCACAGTGATTGCTGCCATCTTACTGTATCTGTTCTTTCTTCAGCTTTTCTATCCTTTTCCTTGTCTCTCTCTAACTTGTTTTCCTTATTTTTTTCTTTTCTTTTGCTGGCTCTTCTCTACTCTCTGCTTTGCCCTTTCTTTTATAGCTCCACTTCCCCCACTCATCAGATAGGTACATGGTGTGCCCTTGGGGTGAGAGGTGTCTGTTGATGCTACCTAGTGCTCAACAAAATCTTGGCTACTGCAGCTTCCACTTGCAGCATTGTATGCGAGTTTCTCCTGTGGGAGCAGAAAGGTAAAGTTGGCTGCTTTTCAAAGAGTAACCAGCATTGCCTACACACACAGCACGTTTGAGCAGAACCCATGGGGATCTGGGTTCCTGCAGTTTTCCCCACCCACACTGATGGTCTGTTTTGCCTTGTGTCCCTTCCCTTTCCTCCCTCTCTGAACTAGTTTTACTACCCCTCATCTTGAGATAGTCATAAAGATGTGGAATAGAACTGTCAAGATAATTTTTGTCGATGAAACTTTCCTCATTGTCTCTTCTCCCTCCCCAACATGTTTCTCTGGAAAGTGCAGTGAAAGCAGAGTTGGACTGATCAGTTTCAGAATTGCTGTATTTTACATCTTTGAACATGGGGTGGGGGGT